TCAAAAACTGGAAACCCCAAGTAAGCCAATGATCATTCATAAATTTCGCTCTAACGAGCAGATGCAAAAACGAAATCGAAATCGAAATCAAAGTCGAAAACATTTCGCGATCATTTGTTTCCATAATTAATTGAACTTTTATGCGAAATCTAACAGCCAACTGAAGCCGAAAAATAATACTCGCCGAAACAGTAGCCATAAACATAGACAAATGGCAGTTAATTTTATTCCAAACACCATTGATAGTTGGAATAATATTTTGTGTATTTTTTATTTTTTGAGGCATGATAAGGCGGCCAGGGCTAGCTCTCTATGTGAGTACTTTTGAAAATGCTTCCTGTAAGGCTGACATTGAGTTACTTCCCCTCTCTGCGGCGCTAAAAAAATAAATCTAGGTAATTGTGTCTGTCGTCGCTGCTATTATGCTCGAAAATTATTGTTCACTTGAAATGGGTTTTTTTGGGGTTCTAGAAAACTCAAAGCCACTGAAGGTTTTCCTCAGCTCATTTCACATTCTGAGCTGAGCTGGAACTGAAAAGCGTTTTTCAAGAGCCTCCCGGTGATTGATCATATTATTTTTTTTTTGCTTTCCAACAATGCGGAACCGGAGCTTACGGTTTTATCCACCGATCTTTTGAGTTCTCAAACCAGTGAGCTTTTCGCCTGGAGGAAGAACCCGTCCCCCGAATCCAATTCCCTGTTCGATTCACCGCACAAATGATGGCTAATTCGGAGTTCGCACAAATCAAACAACCATTAATCATCGCAGCAGCACACGAACAATTTTGGGTATTTTGTCACAAAAACAAAGCAATTTACTAATTAATGGTTTCAATGTTCGACGAGTGGCAGAGTTCACGTTTTGTAAAAAAATAAAAACGATAGAAACGCTCGGATTGGGAGGAGCAGCAGTTGAACGCAGGGCTTGACCCGGAAGTGACCCCCAGATACGCCCTGAAAACCATAAACTTTTGCCCCGAGATGTTATGCAAGATGTCAGATGAGTTATGGAGAATATACATCGTAAAGAAGCCAAGGTTATAAATGTAAGTTAGCAGCGAAAATTGAAATATATAATTAAGCTATTTGGAGTTGCTAGAGGAGAACATAGCACGCTTACTGATATCACCTCAAAAATATGGCGCAAAAAGGAAATTATTGTGAGGAATTAGAACTTTAATTAATAGGTAATTAATTATTAGAAATAATAAGCCTAGAAGTAGCATAAAATATACAATGTTTAATGTTCTTTATCTAATTGATACAAATACTATTTGATATTAAGAATATTTGATAATATTCTCTCTTAATTTAACTCACTTCCCAGCTCCAGTTATTAAATTACTATTATCAGCTCTATTCAATAAAAAATACATCTATGAAATGCCCAAAGTTCAAGCATCTTATTGAATATTATTTTCATGCCTTTGTGTGTATATTTCCACGTATTTATTTGTTCTTGGATATGTTTTGTTTTTCCAATGTCTTGGGTATTGTTCATTAATAGCTGCAAAGTGATGCTGGCAGAAATTCGTTCTTTGTTGCTAATGATATTGTCAGTGGTGGGGGCTGGTACCGAAGATACCTTTGGATTTATGTTCATATATATGTCGTGTCATGGCAGCATCAGGTGTATTATTGATTCTTGCGCTGGGCTTTTGTTCGCATGGCTTTTATTGTTTTTATGGCATAATAATAAACAGCATTAAATAGCATTACATTCGAGTTTCTTTGGAAGTTCCGCCTTTGGTCAGTCGAACCAAAGAGGTCACTGGGCCGGATAAATGAAGTGTAATAATAATTAATAATATGTTGGGATACAGATGGATTCCCTGGAATTATCCGGGGATTTTGGGCACTCTCTTTTGCGGTCATCGCTTGGAATTCACTGACAGTTTAATTAAATCGGTTCTCTTGATTGGACTTTATTTTTAGTCTATTATTTTGTTTGCTCGCGCTCGTTAGGCGTTATTTTTAGAACCCCCAAGCTATATAAGTACTCTGAAAATAAATCTCGATTCGCGGAGCGAAGATTTCCTATTTATAAAAATGTAAAGACATAATGGCAGCCAATTAGCCGGGGCTTTGCCTGCCCACTTCCGCTTTGAGCGCGAGTCCATTACGCCGAAACGGATCCATCAAGCTAGAACTTCTCGCCGGAGAGTTTGTTTGGGTCAAGTACTCGGAGTACTCGACCTTAGAGTGTTGCGCTGAAATTGTTTTAATTAAATCCGCAAAGCTCACAAGGTGGAGGGAGGCGGCAGGCGGTGGTTGCTCATTAAAAGTCATTGGCAGGCGTGAAGTGATTTATCGGGCCGTGGATTTCAGTTGACAAAATTGATGACTTCTGAGCGAGATCCGATCTCCGCGTGGGTGGTCCTCGAACTCGTACATATATGTACGTACCATATATCATTATACTTTCGATTCTGAAACCCAGGTGAAACCCAAGACGGCCATTTTTCACGGCTAAGACTTACAACAGTTAGTTGGTCAATGGGTTATTATGATAATGAACTCAATTGCTGCTGCCCCCGGAGCTTTGTTGTAATTTGCGTGGCCTTGGGACGCGGTCTAGAAGATTTCACAGCCAAAAGAGAGAATAGACGGACGGACGCGCACAAAGACCCGATGAACGCGATCATTATTACCACGATTATTACCATGATTATCATTATGATCGCGGCGATGGAAGAAGCAGCAGCAGCAGCAACAGCAAACACAGCTGGCCGGAGGTCAACGCGGTTAAGAAAATCAAGTTTACAAAAGGCAGGCAATTACAGAGGCACACAGAAAATATTTATAGGTTTTTAAAGATTTTTTTGGAAGAGAATAAGTTATAGAAATAAAAGTTTCAAAGTCTAAATTTATAAATAAAAAGCCTACAAATTCCTTAGAAGTTAATAATATAATTTTAAGAGCTTTCTTTAATAAAACCTAAACCTAAGGTATTTATTTTAATGTCTTTTAACTGACATATAAAATTTAAAAAGCTGAAATAGTAAAAAATTACGAATATATTTGTAATATATTTTTATCGAATCTTTTTCTCCGTGCACAGCCAAGAGTTAGAGTAGCTTCAGGTTGGTTTCCAGCAACTGCCAGTAGCCAACTGTGATAAGAATCGCGTTGGCTAATTAAAAGCGACCACCAGGCGTATGAGTAATCGGCAGCCAGCCAGCCAGAAGAGTGTGCCCAAAGTGATTTATGTGTATTCACTTCTGATTTGAACCTCAGCCGAGCTCTTGGAGCGAGTTCAAGTACACGTAGACAACAATTTTTTTGTTATATATTTTTTTTTGCCGAAGGCAAAGCGCACAAGAAGCCAATTGCCCAAAAGCACTTGCCATTCCACCAAAAAAAACTCCATCCAACCGAAGCCATCTATACCCAGTGATGTGAAAGGTATAGTTTATTACGTAATTGTTGGTCTTGGGTTGGTTTAAATAAACTTATTTTGGGGTTACAAAAATAAATAAAATTTAATTCCAATAACCTTCTAAATTAATCAGAACTTATGCTTCATTTATGCAATTGGGGAATTGGTTTTTGAAAATATATATAGTTTTAAGTATATAGTTTTAATTTCCTAATAATATTATAATTTTTTGTTATATATGTATAATGAACAAAATAACTCATTTTATTCTTATTCATTGTAATGATCAAATTTTTTTTTCAAAGATCAAATTCTTATTGTTTGCATCTACCCCGTTTTAAAAATTATATCTCTATTAGTTTTAATTTAAATTGAATATTTTTCATTGATACACCGTCCTAAAATCGATTGAAAAATTTACATAAATACCTAGCAATACCCTAAAAAATTCCCAGCAGTGCCACGGCCACGGATCTACCCTTAATGATAGAGTTCTGCTACTGTAAAGTGTTCACTGGCTCATTGATTGCGCTTCGGCCAGAAATCAATCAGCAAGGCAAACAGTAACAAAAGGCATTAGATCTGACCTTCCTTGGAATCGAAATTTTATGTGCGCGAACTTGAGACATTGGACGTAATTACTGTCAAAGCCGGAATCCGCAACGGAATTGAAATTCGCGACAAAGTGCCTCGAAAAAGTTTAACGACTCGCGCCAATTTGTGGCCACAATTAGGCTTAACGAGTGGAGCAATGGGTCTCTGTACATGGATTTGTTTTGCAGAGATAAGCCAGGCAGTAAATGGCACGTTTTTGGATTAATTGTATTAATTGTAGCAAGAGCCTAGCCCGAGGGCTTTGATCGGAACACGATTTTGGTTAATTAAAGTCACCAGGCGCTTGAGGGACAAGTGTAATAAATTCAAGAATGTTAAGCTTTAAATTCAGATTCTGTGTTCGGTTCACTTAAAGCCACACGATTTATCTTTATTTCGAAAACATTAATTTCTTGAAAGAATCCAAGAGAACATCCAAATGAAATAAATGAGTTCAACTTTTAAATGAACCAGAGAAGTAAGAGGCAAACTTAGAGGAGGTGATATATTAATGTAGGATTTAAATGTAAAACTGAGGTCAGACACATGTTACAAAATAAAAAAGACAACTTTCATTGCAACTTTTACGAATTCTATGCTAATTTTTAATATGTATTTCATATTTACTATTTTTAAATTTCATTAGAATAAGCAAAGAATTTAGAATTATATTTTTTACAATAACAATCACAAGGTTTACTCCACTTTATGTTCTAAGGGAAGATGTTCTAATTTATCATTTTATGTTCTTTAAATAAGAATTTTAACGGTTTCTTTCTGATAACGATTATTAAGTCTGGCAACACTGGCTATCGACCAAAACTCAATGGCAACTCTACAACGACAAAAATTAAGGGTTTTTTGCTTTTTTCACTGCTGTCAAAATTATCTTGTATCTATCATCTATTTTTATTATTTGTTACATTTTTATTATTATTACATTTAGAATAATACGATACTTTTGACTTTATCGCACTTTTAATATCGATAAAGATATCGATGTTGGATACCTTCCCCAAAAATGTCGATACTATCGATAGTGACATTAGCTATTTATCTTTATCTTTTATTATTACCTTCGAGTGCTACAAGTAAATTTTGTAATTTAATGCAATAGTCGGAATACGGTCCTAGTTTGCCAACCATAACGCGATAATGCCCGCGGTCGAGGAGACACAAATCACAAAATATCTCTCAAAGGTGAGGCCCCCGCAGATGAGTCATAGCCCCACTCTCTGGGATTGGCTTTTCTCATTGTCTTGGGTTCTTTTGCACGCAACGCAATTGACCAAATACATCTATTAATCCATATCCTTTGCAGTACAAATATGTGGGAGCCACGAAGAAGGACGTTATGGATGTGGTCACGACGTACCGCAGCTTGACCTACGACCTACAGAAGTTCAGTGAGTTCGGCAGCCCCCCAGGTGAAAGCCAAGATAACCCCCAACGATCTCTTTATCTACAGTTTTCAACGATGGCACCAGCAAGGATTTGTTCACCCTGCAGGGCACTATTCCCGTGGTCTACAAAAGTAACTAAAACACCCTATTATGTCCCCATACTCGCGCACATTGTGATGTAAACGTATTCTCTTTGTATCGCAGATAACACCTACTACATTCCCATCTGTATATGGCTGATGGACACGCATCCCCAGAATGCACCCATGTGCTTCGTCAGGCCCACGGCCACCATGCAGATAAAGGTGTCCATGTACGTGGATCACAATGGCAAGGTCTACCTGCCGTACCTGCACGACTGGCAGCCGCACTCCTCCGACCTGCTGTCGCTAATCCAGGTGATGATCGTCACCTTCGGCGATCATCCGCCGGTCTACTCAAAGCCTAAGGAACAAATTACATCGCCATATCCGCCGAACTGTGAGTAACGAATACCTTTAATTGCATTTATAGGTATTTTGTCTTTTATTTATTTAGATTCCTTTGTATCTTATCTTAATCGGAAACAGGAATAATGTTTATTCCCCCAATTCAGTTGTCTTCCCTAATAACCTTTTATCTTATTTCTTTTTCAGCTTTCATGCCTCAGCCGGGAGGACCGAGCGGCAGCAGCTCGGCTCTGCCATATCCCACAGCCGGCGGCAACTTTCCGCCGTATCCCACTGGCTCCGGTTATGGACCCTATCCGCCTGGAGGCGGCGCAGGTTTCCCTGGACCAGCGGCCGGACCCTATCCGCCCTATATGAATTTCCCGCAGCCACCCGGTGGTAGTGGTGGCTACCCACCAGCAGGGGGCTATGTAAGAATCTCAAAACATCGATCAAAAGCATCCAAAACGAGCTAAATTTCTGTACTCCGATAGAACCCCTCATCCAATGCCAGCTCCACGGGCACCATTACCGAGGAGCACATCAAAGCATCACTAATCAGTGCCGTAGAGGATAAACTACGCCGTCGCATCCAGGAGAAGGTTAATCAGTATCAGGCCGAAATCGAAACGCTGAATCGCACCAAACAGGAGCTTGTGGAGGGCAGCGCCAAGATTGATGCCATCATTTCGCGACTCGAGCGCGAACATGTAGACTTACAGAAGAACATCAGTGTGCTGAAGGACAAGGAGCAGGAGCTGGAGAAGAGCCTGGAGGCGCTGGAGAGCGCCGAGGCCATAGATCCGGACGAGGCAGTGACCACCACAGCGCCGCTATACCGACAGTGAGTAGTGATTTCTAAACGGGATGTCTAGAGAGATATAATGGCTCGTCTACCCTCGCAGATTACTTAATGCTTATGCCGACGAAGCTGCCACCGAGGATGCCATCTACTACCTGGGCGAGGGCTTGCGCGGCGGTGTCATCGACCTGGAGACCTTCCTCAAGCACGTTCGCCAGCTGTCCCGCAAGCAGTTCATCCTGCGGGCCACCATGCAGAAGTGCAGACAGAAGGCCGGTCTGGCCGGGTAAAGATGGCAGCGGGGGAAGTGTGTGCACGTTTAGACGATTTATATGTTAGCGTTAATATATATATTCGACATTGTTTTAAGCGCAAAATTGAATCTTTGAAATTGAAATTACAATAAACGTAAATAAAAAGAAGGCCTCATGTTGTACGTTCACGCCCACGGACAGCTTTAGGTTTATTTTATACTCGGAATGGTGATGATTAGCCTTAATTTCATACGTAAATACCGACGGTTAGTAGCAGGAACACGATGCCAAAGCCCAGGAATATGGACGCGCACAGGCTGATCAGCAGTTCCTTGATGAGCGAGCTCTCCTTGGAGTTATCCTTCAGGTTCTTCCGCGACACCACGATGATGAAGAACCAGGCGGTGAAGAAAGTGCCGATGACCAAGAGCACGGTCGCAAGGTGAGGGAAAACGGCCGGGTTCACGGGCGAAACGTAGCGAGTCATCGTATCCATGCTGCACGACCCAAAGCTAGTTAGTTTTGCAATTAATTCAACTGATTATAAGCCAACTTACATTGTTCTTTATGTGCTATTAAATCTTGTTATTTTTTGTAGTAAATTGTACGTGGCCCGGCTGCTAGAGTTGCCTTTCTTCGTATCGCAATCGGTGGACACCCACTATCGATAACAATGTCAGGGCTATCGAATGAGGGGGATACTTTTACACTAATTTTAATTTAAATATTTTCAAATGAAAATCCAATACTTTATTAATTTAAAAATCAATTTTTAAATGAAAATTTTGTAAATTATTGTAATATAAATAAAGTATGTATAGTGTCAGACGTTCTTGTTAATTAAATTACTTTCACTTTAAAGACGTACTCAAATTTATTTTTACTTTACTTCCTATAATTTTAATATGCCTTAAATGAATTTATAATTTAATTTTTTAAGAAAAATAACTAATTTAAAAGGTTATCAGCTTTTTTCAGCTATCGATTGTCGTCGGAACTACCCGCTAGAGTGCCATCACTGCATCGATAACAGCTCGTTTTTTAGATAGGGCCATCTCTAGTACTCTTCCATCAACGTGCTCTCTTTTCTCAATAAAAAAAGAAATTATCAATGCGCAAGAAAAACGAAAGCCAAAACAAGGGAAAACAAAGAAGCACTCGATGGCCGATGTGGGTAGTTTCCATAATGCACCTGAAGCAGTCATAACATCTTTTTCCCGATCTGCAGCTGGAAGAACTGGATAGCGAACGCCTGAACGAGCTAGAATCGATTCTCTACGCCTCGATCCACTACAGCGATGGAGGTGGCGAGCAAGGTGCTGCGGATCAGCTGATGCTGGAAAAACAGCCACCCAGCGACCAGGATGCGGACGCCAGGAGCATGCCACCGCCTTCGATGCAGCAGCAGAGGAAGAACCCGCCATCCGGTCAGCAGCCATCCCAGCGTTTTGTCTCAGAAATGCGGGTGATCAACAACCAGGGACGGCAGAAGCCTCGCTACTGGACGGAGGAAACGGAGGGGCAGGTGAAGAGCCCAGAGGAGGAGCAACGGGTGATACCAAACAAAACAAACCCAGGTGAGTAATGAAGTTAATCAGTTGAAGAGGTTTTAAAGTCTTATTGTAGTAATATGCATGTAGATTTATCTACTTAGGTATAAATTATGCGCGAATTTATATAAAATAGCACTTTAATTTAATATATTTTCAATACAATTGCATCAGTTTTTGTCTGCATAACTTTTGGAGCTTTCTCTTTCGCCTGGTTCCAGTGCTTTGTGCAGGAACTTTTCCTGTTAGTTCTTGTTGGCCCGCTCCAATCGTCAAGTTCGGTGCCCACCAGTACCTAGGTTGAATCCTACTTTTTCCCAACAGTCAGACTGTCTTTTCAAGTTGAAATTCCTATTGGACCCCTTTTGAAAACCATTTTTTTTGGCTTGCCTTCAAAATTATCTCCTTGACGATGACGTGCTTTCTGAGGCATTTGGCAGGCCGCTTAGAGGCGCTTATTGGGTGGCTCAGCCAACTCAACCACTATACCCTGGCCCTGGCCACCGTGGACCTTGTGTGCGTCGTGTGCCTGCTCCACTACAATCTTGTGTGCCACGGCAGAGATATGTTCTTCTGGTGCGAGGAGCTCAACAAGCGATTCGTGGAGTACTTGCTCTCCGCCATTGTGCTGATTGCCACCGTGCACGTAATGGGCTCCTGTGTGGATGCCGTTATCATCTCGGCCTTGGTCCATCGGGAGATGAGTCGCCACAATATGCCACGGCAGCATTTCGAGGAGCGCTACCGAAGATTTGTGTTTATGCGGTTGGTGGGGCGCCTGGAGCAGGCTCTCAAGGTGCAGCAGACGAATGGGTCGGAGGAGGGCCTGGAGATGGTGCCGCTGGCCGAGGCTCAGCAGCTGATCAGGGGGGCGATCGACGAGTTTCGCACAGCGGTGCGTGTTCTACTGTGGCCCAATCGATCGGATCTGCAGGCAGAGGCGTTTGTCATCTTTCACATTAGCGAGGATCAGCTGGAGCAGCTGGCCGACCAAGGCTACAGCCTGGGCGATGTGGACGCCCGGGATATAGTCAATGCGCGCCTAAGTCACTTGCTGAACCCACCCTGCTATTAAAGTGTCCGCAAATTCATAATTAGACAGTGTTTTGGGCAGTCTAGCACTTGGACGTACCTTAATTATTCATTAAAAACTTTTTAAATTGTAAGCCCAAAATATTGCATTTGGAAACTGCTTTTATCAAGAGGCTTTATTTCATTTTTGCAAACATTTTAAGTTGTGTTGTCCTTGGGAGCTCAGAGTCTTCGCTTTGCATTCCTTAAACGCGGGCACGACGTCCACGAGAACGGCTCTGACGCTGGCGTTGACGTTGACGTCTCTCGCGACGCCTCTCGGCGGCCCGCCTCCGCTGTCTGCGCATCCTGCGGCGCCTGTTCCTTGCCGCATTGCTGCTGCTGTTCGAGGATGACGAGTCGTCAGTGGGTGTGGAGGGCGAGTTGGACGATGGGCTGGAGCTGGTGGGTGACGTTGGAGCTGCTGCTGTTGGTGAGGTGGGACTGGGCGGCGAGGTCGGAGTTGTTGGCGATGGCGAGGTTGGAGAAGTGGGAGAAGTTGGCGATGTGGGCGAAGTCGGGGAAGTCGGCGAGGTGGGCGAGGTTGGTGATGTCGGCGTAGTGGGAGAAGTGGGCGAGGTGGGAGAAGTCGGCGAGGTTGGAGAAGTGGGCGTGACGGGTGCAGCCGGAGTCGATGCATAGACCGTGGCGATGAGAGCCACCGCACCGAAGAGGAGGGTAAATTGAAAATGCATCTTCAGATCTCTACGATTCTCTGATGTCTAACTACTGGAGTACTATACAAGTTCTGTCCTAATCCTCTGTATTTATAGGGAAAAGTTCCGTTGCTTTAGGTCTAATTGCCCAATCTGTGTTTGCTCTACATATCTCACGTGGAAGGTAGACTCTTCACTAGTCTTGTATGCAAACAAATTTGATACAATAAGATGATCTGCAAGATTTTTCATTGTATTTCTAATTTAACAATAGAGAATTTGTGGATTTGTTTATTTTGTTTCACAAAAAATTTCCAAATGTGCAAACACAGACATCTTTTGTATTGATAATAGCTGTAGGTATTGTTCTATTGCTTCTTCGCTATTCTTCAACTTTGTTTTCGCAGTTAGCCTTGTTTCAATAGGCCAACGGCAGCAGGTTCTTGGGCTGAGATCCGCTTTTGGCAGATAATGTTGACTCAAAGACATTATTTTTGGAAATAATCTAAAGAAATAAGGGTATTTTGTCTTGGGAGCTTGGTTTCTTTATGCTTAATATGGAGAATAATAGTTTTTATTTAAACGTAGAAAGATTATTTATTATTTTTGAAGTTGTGAATAATGCAATAAGTGTCTCAACCACTCTTTTGTCTACTTAATTTTGTAATTAATTAATTTCCTTTTTCTCTCCTAGCTTCTGAAGCTCCTCCCGCTGAGAAAAGCCCACCGTTTTCGCCGAAGAAGGGGACGACACCCAACCAACCTAAAACCCCAAATCAATCTCCAAGGCAGCTGCAGCAAAATGCACAAGCAAAACAACCACAAAACCAACAGCAAAATCAGAAGCAGCCACAAAGTCCGCATCAAAAACAGCATCAAAAACAGCAACAAAAACAGCAACAAAATCAGCAACAAAAGCAGCAACAAAAACAGCAATCTAAACAACAAAATAATCAAAAGCCAAAGCAGCAACCTCAAAACCAACAGACAAAACAGCAGCCACAACAGAAACCTTCGCCCCCTCGGTCGCCAGTAGTACAAAAGCCCAAAGGACAGCCAACCAACACAGCCACCAAAGCAAACCACGAAGCCTACGAGGAGGAACGCTTCGACCAGAGGCTCCTGGTGGCCATCCCACCGAACTGCTCGCCCAAAAAGCAGAATAAACCGCAGCAGCAGCAGGGCAAGCAACAGAATAAGCAACAGCAGAACAAGCAGCAACAGCAACCTGGTCCTGGACCCTTTGGCAAGGCCAATCGGAAGCTGGAGCAGATGCAGCGTTTGGCGGCCAAGAAACAGAAATCAAAGCAGGCTCAGGCCAACAAGAAGCAGCGCAGGCAGCTCAATGCGGCACCCGTGGAGTTTGTGGATCTGGCGGAGAGTGACGTCAGCAACTCCTCCGATGATGTGGTGCTTGTTCCCTTGCCGCCAGTGCCTGTCATCGATCTCGATGCCAGCGACAACGAGCAGCCCAGCACCAGTTCAGCAGCAGTAGCAGCAGCCGCAGCAACCGCAACAGCAGCTGAGGTGTATCACGAGGAGAATGCCATGGATTCGGCGGATGTAAGGATGAGCTCGTCGTGCATTTCTGAGCCGTTGGTTGTGGAAGCGGTGACCGGGATCGTGACACCATCCTTGCACTCGCCTTGCAGCTCCGTCATGTCCAGCGATGACTTCATAGTTCAGAAGGACACCAGCCGCCTGCTGGCTGAACGAGAGAAGGCCCATGACGACGACCTGCTGGTGCTCACCGAGAATGCCATAAGGGAGGCGGAGGCTGGTGCTGAGGCTGATCAGGAGGAGCAGCAGGCACCTGTGGTGGAGGAGGAGGCGGCAGTCGATCTGGAGACAACCCCTCAATGCCAAGATACCTCATCGGAATACGAATTTATTCCGCCCTCGCGCTTGGATGAGATCAAGCAGAACTATCGCGTGGACGATGAGCAGCAGTTCAGGGCCTTGGATGTCTACGAGAGCGAATCCGATCTCACCGAGAGCGGCATCTACTCGAAGGCCAAGCCCAAAGTAACGCCCACGATTATACGCAGCGTTGACTCGCCCTCCGACAGCTCCGCGTCCGTGGAGGAGGTTGTGGAGCCCAGCGTCCAAAAGACCAAACGTCTGCGCAAGCGCTCCTTTTCGGCCAATAACCACAGCCATTCGGAGTCGGCGAACAACGAGGACGGCGAGAATGATACGGACAGCGATGACGGAGTCCATTCCACCGGTGTGCCGGGCATTGCCCGTGGCATGGCCGTGGAGCGGTGCAAGCGCAAGATACGCAGGATCAGCACCAGGCGCAGTTCCGAGGAGAATCCAAGGAAGGCGGCTCGAGCCAAAAAGCCAGTGCTCTCGGCCAGCCAGGAGGCCAGCTCGGAGTCCGCGGCGGAGGATGAGCTGCCGAGTGCCCGGGAAATTGCAGAGAGACTGCTCAAGCAGGAGCAGGGACTGGCCAGGGAGCAGCCATCCAGTAGTGAAGCCCTCGAAACCTGTTCCATTGGCTCTGATGCGGACTCCCAGGGCGAGGCAGAGTTCCGGGACGCCACGACGGACCGCATAGCTGCCGTGTTCGAGCGCATGGATTCCGCCTCCCATGCCCAAGAGCAGGATGCCAGCGGCTACATTTCCGACGAGGAGGACTCTCGGGACAAAATCGCAGACAGCACTGTGGAGGAGTCTATGGATACCTCCAACGAGCTTCAGGAAGCTGATCCCGAGGAAAATGATGTGGATGTGACCATGGAAGAGCCACAGATCCAGGTGGAACACAATCTGCCAGGCATTACGGACGACGAGAGTCTGCCGAGTGGCGGGCAACTCATAGGCTGGAACGAGGAGATGCGCCGCTTCTACGACGACAGTTGGCATGGCGAGCACTTCTCCGTCCACAAGCTGCACAGGTCCATGAGTGGTGAGTGGAGAGGAGAATTCCCAAAGAACCTTCTTGATATATTTTCCCGATTTCAGCGCATCGGCAGGAGTGGAGGATCAGCAATGCGGATCGATTTCCGGTGATGCGAGCTCGTTCCCATGCAAAGTGCACCAACTGCGCCGAGATGGGCCACGTGCGCTCCAAGTGCCCGCGTCCGCGCAAGCCGCTCATCTGCTTCATGTGCGGGGTCGTGGGACATGCCGAGCCGCGCTGTCCCAATGCCATTTGTTTTGGGGTAAGCAAAAGAAGTCAGTAAATAAACTCTTCCCATACCTACTTCTACCCTTTCACAGTGCGGATCGAGGCAGGCCATCTATGTGCAGCAGTGCAACAAGTGCTCCTTCCACAGCCGCCTGGTGTGCCAGCTCTGCAAGATGCGTGGCCACGGCACGGATCAGTGCCCGGACAAGTGGCGTCGCTATCACTCAACGGTAAGCCAGACAGACAAACATATTTCCCATAACTATAAGGCCTAATCCTCCTCCTTCCCGATTCTCCCGACAGACTCGATCCAATGTGGCACTGAATAGCCGCGTGCAGTACACGGTGAAGCAATGCAGCTTCTGTGCCGGACGTGGCCATCTCTTCGAGAACTGTCGCCAGCGCATTGGCGACTTTCGCAGCAACAACTACACGAGTCAGATTGTGTCGCACCAGAAGATCTACAGGGATCGCAGTGGACCCCTGGGCGATCTCGGTGATCTGGGTAGCTTTTATGCCCTAGAGACTCCCTTCCACTTCCAGTGGAGCAGCCCGCAAATGCCCAAGAATAGCTACTATTCCAGGTTCCTTATCAAAGTGAATTTGGCCAGACCTCAGGCCACCAAACGGAAGTCCAGCTTAGCTCTGATGGAGCTACCATCAAAGGTATACTTTGCCCATGACTATGTGCCCAACGATCAGGCGAAGGCGGCTCGAGGTGAGGTCTCCGCCGCTGAGGAATCACCAGACCAGCAAAGGGAAAACCCAGTTGTTGGTGAGGAGGAACCCGATAGGGAAGCACCTGTGGACAATGAGGCTGCACAAGATGCTTCATCAGTGGCTGCTGGCGAGGATGAAGCCGCTTCCATTCAACAGGAGGAGATCACCAGCAATTCTCAGACTCAGGATACAGAGGCAACGATGGCCGCCAAGCCACCGGTGGCTTCCCATGAGCTGGACTCGGACTCAAACTACAGTTTCTCCGAGCACTTTGAGGTGCCCAGCTCGACGACTACCGAGGACAAAGGAGAGACTCTACCCTCCAATCATCCCTTGGCCAATCTACCGGATGTCATTCCCCTGGGCGGATCCCTCGACGACGATTTCGAGGTGTCCTCCAACAGCCAGGGCATCTCCATGTGCGTGAACACCAGCAGCGGCAGCAACAGCAACAAGCAACAACGGGCTGACGATCCTGAGGAGCTGCGAGATATTCCTTCCGAGGGAAAAATCATAATGGCACGCGATCAATCCGAGTATCTTTTCAGTCCCGAGGGACGTACCTTCCTGGCCGACACCGCCAAGCAGTGCCAGGTGAGCGTGCGCATGGACTTCAAGGACTACGGCTACGTCCTCGTGATATATGGGCTGAAGGAACACCAGGAGAACCTGCAGCTGAAGCTGTTGCGACGCCACCAGGAGGTGAAGCGTAAGACAATCGAGTTCCAGAGCCAGAAGCCGCCCAAGAGAATCGATGTGCTGATCCGCTTTCTGCGCGACGGAATCAACAGTCTGGCCAGCAATCTGGGCAACGCCAAGAGCCACTACCTGCGCATCAAGGAGCTGGAGGATATGAACACGAAAAACGGCTACAAGATGGCCGAGAAGAAGCGCCGCCAGCTGAACATGATTCTGGTGGGCCAGGCGGGCCTCCTCAATGGCAACACCCACTTGGATCAGTTGGTGGTCCTGTTGCGGCGTCTGGTGGACGATTTCTCGCCGGATGAGAACGCCACGCCCGAGCTCCGCAACGAGATCGAGGAGCATTGGCGCATGATATTTACCGCGTATCCGCATCCGAACTACGACTCCCTGATCAACAGCTATTGTCGTCTGGATCAGAAGAATCGCCTGCCCTCGCTGCACTTGGATCCCATTCTGCTGGGATTGCAGGCCAAGAAGACGCCACCTTCGCCGCCTAAGCGTGCTCCATCGCCAACGGCGCCACCGCCGCCGGCCTGGCGTATGGCCCCGCCACCGCCACCGACCAAGATGCCAAAGAAGAAGCAGCGGCAGGCCATGTTGCTGCAGCAGCAAACCCAGCAGCAGCAGCAGCTTCAAAATATGATGAGGCAGCAACACGACCAGGAGCAGCAGCTTCAAAATATCATCCAGCAGCAGCAGAATAACCAGCAACAACAACAACGCCTGCAGCAGCAACATCAGAGGCAGCATCAGCAACATCATAGACAGCAGCAGCAACATCATCAGCAACAGCAGCAGCAGCATCAAGTTAGACGCCCACAATCCACACATGTTATGCCCTTCAATAATCCCCAGCAGCGGGCCCGCGCTGATCTGCAGCTCCGCCAGACTCTCAATCCGGAATGCGTCCACCTGCTGGCCGAAATGGAACGCAACGAGCGCGGTGGCAGCATCAACAAAGACGCCAACAAACCGTCCATGTTCTGGTCCCGCGAATCGCTCAAGTACCTCGATGACCTGTTCAAGATGACCTCCAACTCGGACACCGTGGAGCGCCTCAACCGGGTGCTCCAGCGGTCGCAGCGTGGCCAGTTGTCGCACAACGACTACCGGGCCGTCATCCGGCTGCACACGCTCCTGCGCAACTGAGCAACTAGGATTTGGGGTTTTCTTGGGGGGGCAACACTTTCACTTTGTTTAACAAATACCAACAGATTTCACATCATTGGGTATCTGAAAGATATTACCCATTTACCGAATAAATAAATTACTGACTATTTTCGCAACTCTGTGTTTTAGGGTTTTTTGTTTTGTTTGGGAAAAGTATACATATATTTGTTCTTAAGAAATATATTTTTAATAGATTTAGATAAGATTGTAGAAATAGGGTTAACATAGGGTTCTAGGCCACAAAATAGATTTCATTTCTCTTTTAAGGAGCTCTGTTGGCAGCCTCCAAAAAGTAGGCTTTGTTTTAGTGCCAATAGCGTGCTTAAGAAACGCTATAATTTAGCTTTTGAAATATTAATAACTTTTAATTTTGACCAGAAAAATGCAGCCCACTGAAGAAGGCTTGTCGTGAGCACCATCAGACGAATTGATCTAGTCTTGTAAGCCACACTTTTGCTTTGTTATAGATTGGAACTATCTATCCCCCTTCTGTTGCAGATAGATATTTATTTATTTTAGTTGCCATAAAAAGCTTCTAAGGTAAGTTTCTCAATATTAGTCAAATATATTCGTATTAATTAATTTGTGCTTAAGCACAAAGGTTTTTCTACTTGTTATTAAATAATGAAAATATATTAAAGAAGACTAAAGCCAAGGCTTTTTAAGAACCCACTCTGGTATCAAAGTACAACGATCCAAAATCAGAATTATTTGCATTTGCATTATCCAATAACAGCTGAATAAATGTTTGCATTGGTGGGCTCGATTGGTTTGATAAAAGATTAGTTGATTTTATGAAAGCTGGTTAAACGTTGACATTGGGTGATACTGGTGGATACTGGTATACGATTTTAATTCTTTGCCACCTATACTATTTAGATTTTGCTTTTTAGGAATGGTATATCCGTGAGGGAGTCTAGAAACTGCTAAGTGTGATCGTCGACTATAGTTAAATATTTAAATAGTATCTTCAGGTTGGTGTATTATACTAATTTTTTGCTAAAATTTGGGTGTTTAAACATATGTATTTAGTTTCGAAAATGTTGTTTGGTCGCACGTGGAAGAGAGTCTCTTTCTCAATACTTCTTCACTTGTCTCTAGAGCAAACAAAATTCATTGCAGACGATCTTCTCATACTTTTGTACCCAGTAATGTTTGAGCAAAAGGGTATATGAAATTCATATATGTACATATATATTCATAATCTATCAATTTAAATTTCATGATCGGAAACTATAAAAGCGTGATCCATTAAATTTGGGACATAGAGTTAAAGAGACTTCAGACAGATTAAGTGTACTCTTCTGGTTAAATAACAAAAAAATAATACTGTATAAGTTGGATATACCTCCCATATATTCAATATTCAGATGGCAAAGTTGTAAAGAAGCACCCAATAACATACGCCGGGTATTCCGTGGGTCAAACACTCGGCTGTACTGGTTTACGTTTTTTTTTTTCTTTTTTTTATAAATAAAACATATATAAAATTAGGTAAAAGCGTCAAACAGTTGTTCGAATTCGACTAAATTGTGTGACTAATTTGAATATTCTAACTAAACATGGTTGAGGTACATTTAAACCGAAACCCTTGTCACCTTAGAGCTGGGTTTCAAAATTGACTTAAAATTACAATTTTTTGTATTCTAACTAAACTTCGATGAGAAACTTGCATTGCGGCGACCGTGCATCCTTGGATCTGGCGAACCACATGAATCTCCGCCAGATATCGGCTAACGTCAACTTGCTCCGCTTGCTGTAGACGTTGAGATAGATGCCCAGGACGACGATCAGGCCAGACCACAGGTACTGCATGGTGAAGGGTTTGCTGAAGAGGATAAAGGAGAACGCAATGGTCACCGCCTTGCGAGCTGTGGTCACTGTGGCCGCTATGGGAGCCCCACTGCTCCTCACCAGAGCCAGGACGAACTGGATGCCCAGGTAGCCGGAGAGGCTGAATAAGAAGCCATAGCCAAAGGTCTGGAGCGGATGATCCAGGCAGAATGTCAATCCACTGAAGAAGTGACCGGTAACCAGCATTATAACGAAGAGGTAGACGAAACCCAGGCCGTACGAGTAGAAGACCACTTCGCTGCTGGGCGCCTTGTGCTCCCGCATGGCCTTCTCCTGGACATTTCCGATGGCGGCGTCGCAGAGCAGGGCGCCCGATATCATGGCCACGCCCAGCAGATTAAAGTTCGGCGTCATCTGGGAGTCAGCTAGCGTGAACCAGGCCAATCCGATGCACATGCAGGTGGCTGCCGCAAAGTCCAGCACTCCGTAGCGCTTCTTCTGGATGAGGATGCTGCCCACCAGCACGGGGATGAGCTTGCAGCACTTGAAGATCACCTGGGTGGGGTAGTTCAAGTAGCCCAAACTGGAGTTGGACAGTCCCATGGTGCCCAGAGTGAGAGCGGCCAGCACCAGGTACGTGCTGATGGGAATGCAACGGGCCACAGGTTTGCTGCTCCAAAAGGATCCTCCACTCATCCGATGTCCCTCCAGGCGGCGCTCCACCAGGCCGAAGCAGATGTAGTAGCCGAACTGGACGAGCGTGAGGAACCAGCCGTAAGGCTTGAATCCCTCTACAGTGAAGATAAGTTCCTGCATGTAACCATAGAGAATGTACAGGACGAAGACGCCTGCACAGCTCAGCAGGAACTGCGTTGTGCGGTTAAAGGAGCCAAGGTCGAAGCACAGGATACGTAGCTCCTTGGGCGGGGGAGTTCCAACGACCTCAGCCATTCTTTTGTTAGTTTTCACAAATTATATTATAATATTATTAACGAAGCTATCACTTAATTATACTTATTGTAGAATTAATTATGTAAGTTAATGCCAGGATCGAATTATCATGCCGTTCTTGCCACATCAATTAACCGTGGTAGTTGAGCTTGAATTAAATCGAGAGAGAGACTGCCAAAATTATATATATATTCCGGGTTTGTTTGCTTCCAATTTGCCAACATATTATGTATAACAGCCGGCTGAGGAAACTCCCCTTCGCCACAAAGAGAATTGTGGATTTGTTTGCATGTTTTTTTTTTCCACAAAAAGGCCAGACGAGTCGGTTGCTGTGCAGGCACACGCGCCTAAATCAATGGCTGCTGTCACTGTTTACAAAACCTCGTTTGAATGGACCAAATAGAGCAGATTTTAACTTTATTTGGCTTTATTAAACAAAATTCGTTTCTGGGCTTTTGTTAGGGCATGTTGATTTATTTGGCAAAAGAAAAGACAGACACAAATGTTTTGGATAGTGAGTACCAAAGATCTCAAGATTAAGAAAACTCCCCTTTTTTTTTGTTTTTTGTTTTTGATTTAAATTTCCAAGAATATTTACCTTGTAAGCTTAATTTATCAAAAGGAAAAACTCTTAAATTTGATAGTGACCACTTTAATCTCTTGAAGCCCCGCCCTCTGTGTAAAGATCACCCACCAATTGAAATCCCCAAAGCAGTCAGTCCCCCAGACAGCTGCAATCCGAACAAATATGTTAACTCCCCTTTTTACACTTTCTTTGCCATAACTTGCTATTTATTTAGTATAAACTCAGGAAGGTTGAACTACAAATTATAAAAGAAAAATGTTTCGGTCATTATTCTATCGTTTTGGATTATTTGAATCCTTTATAGTTTTTCCAAGGCTTTTGTATTACGAAATCGGTTGTCAGAATTTTGAATTTTCCACTTGTCAGTTCTATGCCGCCGTGGTGTGCTGCTGCTCCTGGGTCGTGGTGGACTGCGCCGAAGAAGCTTCCCCGGACTTCTCGTTGACTCCCAGCCAGGGGCAGCGCTTCTGCAGTTCCATGCGGTATCTGGGATGTGAAATGGCGTACACGAACGGATCTATGCAGGCCACCAGCTTGCAGGTGCAGGCCGGGATCATGGTAGCACCTGGAGTCAGGAGACTCTTGTCCCCAAAGGCGCCAATCAGCGACATCACTCCGTAGGGGGTCCAGGATACGAAAAACAGGAAGCAGATGGTGATGGCTGCCTTGGCTATGCGGATCTCGGCCGTCTCCTTACTCTTGTCCACATTCGAGCGCAGCGACTCCACGTTCATCTTCTTGGCCTGCTCCCGTAGAGCCTTCTCGTGGCTGAAGACATGCCCCACGATCTGTGAGTAGTAGTACAGGATCATCAGCGTGGGACACACGAAGCTGAAGAAGAAGATCGTGCCCACAAAGAGGCGAGTGTCAAAGTTGTCCGAGAGATAGTCAAACGAGCAGGAGGTAAGATAGCCCTCTGGAAAGATGGAAATGTAACAGGTTGATTATTGTTTTGATTATTTTGCATTTATTGTATTGTTAGCTATTTGGATAGATGTTACAGAAATCGCACTTTAAATTATATCCAAAACTATTTTAATATTTTATGCCATACTTTTAAAGGAATTTTTTGATGAATTTATTTATTCCTTTAATTTTAATGTATTATTCTTAATAAGCTGTAGGTCGTATTATTTTACATTTCCTAATTATCGGCATTATTTAATATTATTTTATTTTCTGTGTATTTTGTTATTCAAATAATAGGTTGCAAATGAAAATGTAACGGAAAACGTCATCCAGCTCTAGAAATAAGGCTGCCAGACTGTTTCTAAGCCGGTTCTGCCAGACTCCTATGACTGTAGTGCTGCCACTCCGTTTTGGAGATAGTGATAGTAAAACCTATCGATATTTTTGATAGTATCGAACAAATAACATTTTATAATAATAATATAACAAACTATTATAACAAACTTATTTTCTGCGAACATTTTAAATTGCATAAAAAAAACAAACTAATAATTAAAAATCAACTCATTTGACATTAATTTGGATTGCTCCCAATTGTATATAATTTACTGTAATAAAAAAAAATTTTATTTATATATAATGATTAGAACTAATCAATCACATTTTATTAAATTCTTTATAACTATTTCTAAGATTCAAAGTTATACAACAAATTTCGTGAGATATTCAGTTGCAACACAGCCACAATCGATACTATCGATATTACTATCGAGGTTTGCAGCTCTTTCCACTACATTTTCCTATAGCCCTGATACGGTCACACTCTACCGACGCTGACATTAGAAGAAACACTTAGTAAATTAATTAATTAACCGTCTAACAAATGCAGCCATCACACCCAACACACATGTATAATGCCGAAAAAGACTGAACCTCACACCGTGCAAGTGCAAGTGCAATAACCGCTGGGCTCGGCGATCAAAGAACGCAATATAGAAGAGTAGAAAATACACACGAAAAAACCCCAGCGCTCGCTGTTGTGTGTAAATGCAAATGATATATTTTCGTGCAACAACAAGCACAACAACAACACAGCAGCAGCAGCAGCAGTGGCGGCGGCAGCGCAGCAAAAAAGGAACAACAAAAATAACAACAAAAGCTGAGCACGGCAAACGAATATGAATGTGTGCGCGTTAAAGAAAAATTAGATAAAAAGCCAAATGAAATTAGCTCACGCCTGAATTTCGAGTTTGGCGCAAGGTAAACGAAAAGGCGAAAAGCAATCAAAACAGTTTCCATTATCGCAGTGTGCGTGTGCAGTTTTTCCCCTCGGTCTGCGTCGCTTCGCGTCCCGTCCCCGCCCCGCAAGGAGGAAAACCACCTGCATTGATTTACACTGTAAAATACGGATAAAAAACGGAACTTGCACTGCGAGGATATATACACCTATATATATACGCACACACACCGACGCAAGCACAGGCAAAGGCACCACTACCAGCACCCGATTTCTCGGAGGCAGCAGCCTGCCATGTAAGTTTACATTGACGATTATGTATTTGCCGTTGTTTATGTTGCACTCTTGCTGTTTTGTTGTTTTGCTGTTTGGTTGCCTGCTTGCCAGCAGCCAGCCAGGCAGCTACTTTAATGACGGCTTAAAAAAGAGCATTTCGCTCTGGTCGGCAACTTACTACTTACCAACTTACGTTTTCTATTTTATATTTCGCAACTCATTGAATGAAAAAGCCGAGTTAATTATATTCATGGCTATGACTTTAGTGGCAGCAATTACCATTTTTACCCCGTATGAATGTTGCCTACGGTACGCAGCGTAAACGAACTGTTAATTACATACATGTACATCTGTATCTGTGTGTTGTGTACGTCGTCTGTCGCTGTGTGCGTGCGTAGTATCTGCGTTGTTGTTGGTGACCCGCCCCCCCCCCAAACTCTTCCTCCTGCTACCCATCCCATGAATTCCCCGTTGCATCGGTTACGTTACGCGCATTTCATTGCGTGTCCCCATGTTTATGCGTTCTTACGTTTATGTGGGTGAAGATACAAAGTCGCGAAGTTACGAATTGGCAAATTTAATTATTTCGCTGGGTAGCTAAGTCAAATGCTGATATTTTAAGCTCTCTATTTCCAGTATCTGTGCCTTGTTTTTTTGGAGAATTTTGTTTTAATAGTATTTAAAATCGTATAATTCGCTTTAAGTAAATGATAAAGTTTAAATGTTTCTTACTCATAGTAACACATCACAACGTTGTGATTCATATACATATTTTATAATTTTCTAAGAAATTAAAACCCAGTTGAATGATTTGTGTCTTATATATATTTTAAATTTAAAGATTTTAAATAAGCTTATAAAATATATTTAAAAATATTGTTTTTATAACTAAACTAACTTTAAAGTTCCTGTTGCCAACATGCGAATTGAGGATTCGTCTTGTAAAAAGTATCCAATATTTTATCATCTAAATATTTCAAATTAAAGAAAATTTTGACTTGTGAATTTATAAAAAGAAGAAACATGTTCATGTTTATTATCCAACATAATATTGTTTATTGTTATAGATCGTCTTAAAGATCCTTTATTTAAGAAATGCTTCATTTCTGACTGAGGTTCACTCATATACCCGTGCCAGCACCCGCACCCAATACCCCATATATATTCATGTGTGCCCATTGTGTCCAGCTATGAGAACCACACCCATTACATCTAGCACGACACCCCCACAGTCGCACAGTCCCTCAATGGGTCGTCGTCCCTAATGGCCGTCCGTCAGCTCTGCCTGATAAGAGCCAACATATTTGCGTCGTTTCACACGTGCCGGCCAAGAGGCCTTTGGTTTTCGGGCCTTCATTTGGGCCGGAGACGTGACGGCGGCCCCGGGTTACTGGCTTACGGCTCTGGTTTTTTAGACACCAACTCTAGGTTCGATACGTTCCGCATTAAATAATTACCTAAATGCAATTCCCATACACGCAAATGCGTGAGTTTTCTTTTTGCTTTTGTGTATATGTATAATTTTGGTAACGACAACAATTGTGAATCCGAGGCAAGGTGAAGGTCAGAGGTGATTAATCGCTGTGACTTTTCCAAAAAGCCGCAAGGAATGTGATCACGGTTGGCAGGTGGAATTTAATAATATCTTTGTTTTTTTTTTTTTTTTTTTTATCAACTACGCACAACAAACGACGAGTAAATGTAAGAACTCTGCGTAGAAGTTGTGAATCACTTGGCTTCCCTTGATATAGAGGGCTTTGATTGAATTATATCTTACAGATACAAACTGAAATTAAAATGAAGTAGATAAGGAGTAGAACGTTAATTTAAAACGTAATAAGAGGAAACTAATATAACTTAGAAACCCTTGGCATTCTTTTAAAAAATGAATTTAGGAACCCTTTGCATTTTTTTTTATAAAGCTTTTAGGTGTCGCTGAGTACGGATACGAAAGTGATGTGGATTCGTGTGAAAAGGAAAAATCTAAACCTTTACTAGAAGTTTTCAGAATGTATTATTCACCTTTGCCTCGATTACCTACAACACAAATGCACACATTACTCACTAATTATATTTTGTTGTTTGTAGATAAACGCACAAGGAACGCCTAGGCCAAAGCTGAACCTGGCGGGGATTGGAGGTACCGAGGAGAATTGTAGACACATTCGTGCCGCCGCAAGAACCCTTCCGATGTCCAATAAAATCAACCCGAAGCGCCGCGAACCGACAGCAGCAGCAGGAGCAGCCACGGGAGTGGCCACCAATACGAACAGTTCGACTGGATCCTCCAGTGCCGGCAACACGTCTTCGGCCAACACATCCTCATCGTCCAGCTCGTCGCTGTCGTCCGCCGGCGGCGGTGATGCGGGCATGTCCGCCGATCTGACCTCACTGTTCGAATGCCCCGTGTGCTTTGACTATGTACTGCCTCCGATCCTGCAGTGCTCCAGCGGGCATCTGGTGTGCGTTTCCTGCCGCTCCAAGCTCACCTGCTGCCCCACATGCCGCGGTCCCCTGGCGAATATCCGCAATTTGGCGATGGAGAAGGTGGCCTCGAACGTGAAGTTCCCGTGCAAGCACTCCGGCTACGGGTGCACAGCCTCGCTGGTCTACACGGAGAAGACGGAGCACGAGGAGACGTGCGAATGCAGGCCCTACCTGTGTCCCTGTCCGGGCGCCAGCTGCAAGTGGCAGGGCCCACTGGACCTAGTCATGCAGCATCTGATGATGTCGCACAAGAGCATCACGACGCTGCAGGGCGAGGACATTGTGTTCCTGGCCACCGACATCAACCTGCCCGGCGCCGTCGACTGGGTGATGATGCAGTCCTGCTTCGGCCACCACTTTATGCTCGTTCTGGAGAAGCAGGAAAAGTACGACGGCCACCAGCAGTTCTTTGCCATCGTCCAGCTAATTGGGTCGCGCAAGGAGGCCGAGAACTTTGTGTACCGCCTGGAGCTGAACGGAAACCGACGCCGGCTCACCTGGGAGGCCATGCCGCGTTCCATCCACGAGGGCGTAGCCTCGGCGATTCACAACTCGGACTGTCTGGTGTTCGACACGTCGATTGCGCAGCTGTTTGCCGACAATGGCAATCTGGGCATCAATGTGACCATCTCCCTGGTCTAAGCGCACTGTCAATTCTTCGAGTTCTTCATTATTTTTCGGTTTACTTTTCCGCTACATATACATATATATATATATATACATATAGTTTATAGCCCTCTGTTCGCATCAGGCGTTTGACTCTTTGAAAGAATGTGAGAAGGGACAAGGGAGGAGAGAAGACGGCAGAAGAGAAGGAGAGAGTTGTGCAGAGTTGTTTTATAAAAATGATTCTCCATTTAAATAGCCACATACAACATGCATATGTATATATATCTATGAAAATATCAGGCCTGTTCCGTTTTCTCTTCGTTCGAAGTTGCAACTCAAGCTAACTTTGCTCACAGGTGAACTAAAACCGAACATAAATCTGTGCTAATTGTATGAATTTGATCTAAATCTTAAGATTTGCTATTCTATCAACATTTTTCTGAGTTTAAAGCACAACAATTGGCGAACTTTTGAGTACACGAACAGGTCCTGTATATGTTTTGTATGTCTAAACGGTTCGATTGGTACTCTAGTTGTAGGACTTGATTTTTTTTAGCTACCATATACACCCTCTATATATATTTCAATGTTTCAGTGTGTTTAACGTTTTAGTAAGCGTCGTGGGGTTCATTCTGCTTTAGTTTAATTTAGTTTTTAAGGGCCACACACACCTGGAGCAGAGCTGCCTGCGCGTGCCCACCCACTACAGTGAACACTCTGGACACACACACACACACTCCACTCCACTCCAACCAGAAACGAGAAACAAGAAACACTCGATCATCACACTCGAACATGTCTAGTTTAGTTAATGTAAATTATTTTATACAATACTTGTAAATGTTAAGTGAACGAACACAACACAACAAACAATAACAAGAACCACAGCAGCAGCAATGGCGAAACCATCAAAGATAAAGTAATATTTGATAGCGATAATCTGTAATAACTCAAAAGTTGTTTTGTTCGGCCAAAAACCATCTTCACAAAAACGAAAAAAACAAAAATACACACACAAAGAAGGAAAAAAAATATTTTTTTGTCAGGCTAAAAAGACAGTTAACCCTTGCCCCCTTCCCCCATTTAAACCCAATCCCCGGAATAGTAAACGAAGCAATGTTAATGTTTAAATGTCCAACCTAGTTTAGGCGATCTCCCCCGGCCCGGCTCATGCCTTTGATTTTATTTCCCACTCGTTCGTTCGAAGTAAACGGAAGACAAATGATTTACAGCATCATCTGCACCGTAATTAGCTTTTAATGCGACGATTTATCGCGCCACTACCATACGAGATCACTTACACAGACACAAAACTACAAAAGTGAAATAAACGTGATTAGTAAAAGTAAAGAAAACGGTTTATTAATCTGGAAAATCGGAAGATGGAAGTAATTATTTATAGTCGGGGGAAAGCGATACGTATATTGGAAGCAGCCAAACTCTGAATACATCGGGGATTCAGAATATATTCGTAAAAACAATAAATTCGTTATATTAATTTTGGTTTAGTGGCTTTAAGATTATATGAATAAGCAGTCCCTAAACGTAGAACCAGGGATTGCAAATAAGAGTTATGAGTAAAATAAAAGTTACCACCAAAAATGGAGCCGGAAAGATGAAATATTTAAGTATACCATATTATTGAAGGAGTTTTTTTAAAGATAAGATAAACTTTTATAATCAATGTTTGTGTTTTAATTGCGTTTTTTCTCTTATTTAAAATTTACAAAATATTTACAAATTATAATTTTTAAATATTTATTTAAAAGTTTTGTTATTATTTTTTTATTTTTTAAAATAATTGAAAATATTCTTCAATATTTACTTTAAAATATTGAAAATAAAAGTTATTTGTCAATTTTTATTTTAAAAATTAAATCGTAATAACTTAACAACGGATTGACGAATAACTGTCATTTTCCAGTTTTTAAGTAAAAATTAAAGAATAATTTTAAATTTTAATTATTGTTTTTAAAATAAATAACAGTAATTTTTCTACTTTTTTATAAAAATTAAAAAAAATCACTATTCCTCAACTTTTTTAAAAAGTTGAATAGTTAGAATTAAATTAAACTTTTTGCTTTATTATAAGAAAAAACGCTTATTTATTTTATTTTTATTGTTAAAATTATAATTGCTACCATCCCTGCTTAGAACTCTAAGCATTGTTAACTTCCTACCCAGTTGGCCATGGCTTTTCAGTAATTTTTGTAAACTCACTAGCAGATCGTCTATCACTTTCAGCTCTGATTCTTTTTAGAACAGCTTTTAACCAGACTAAAATTTTAAGGGGACAAACAATTCGAAATTTAAAATACCCATTCGAAATCTATTTTTACTTGCTAAAAATTCTCTAGTTCCATTCGCTAATAAAATTAACCGTAAAGATGCCTTTGGAGAACCAACAAAACAGCGATAAAAATTCGACAGCCCCACCAAGATTCAGTGGTGTCCAATGGCCCTCCCCGGCTGCATGCGATCAATCTGCTGCGTCTCCTCTTCAGGCAGCCGAAGCGGAGCAAGAGGCGGGGGTTCCCAGTGAGTTCCTGTACTCGTTGCTAGAGTGCCCGGTGTGCTTCGGCTACATGATGCCCCCCATAATGCAGTGTCCCCGGGGCCACATGATCTGCCATTCCTGCCGCCAAATGGTGACCCTATGTCCTGTTTGTCGCGCGGCCCTGTCCAGCATTCGCAACCTGGGCATGGAGAAGGTGGCATCCAAGCTGATATTCCCCTGCAAGTACTCGCATCTGGGCTGTCAAGCCCGGCTTGCGTATTCGGAGAAGAATATTCACGAGGAGAGGTGCGAGTGCAGCCTGTACAGCTGCCCCTATCCCGACGACAAGTGCGTCTGGCAGGGACCGTTGGGCGATGTGTACGAACATTTGATCAGCACCCACGAGAACATAATCACCATGGATGGCACCGACATAATTTTTCTGGCCACCAACGTAAATCTGGAAGGCGCCCTTGACTGGACCATGGTGCAGACCTGCTTCGGCCGCCACTTCCTGCTCTCATTGGAGAAGATATCAATCGGTTCTGACTTTCAGCAGTTCTTCGCCACCTGCCGTATAATCGGGTCCGTCCTGGATGCTGCAGATTTCGTGTACCATATCACGCTGGAGGCCAATAACCGCATCCTGCGCTGGAAGTCCACACCGAAATCTATACGTGAGAGCTTCAGCTTCGTCAATTCGGATTTCTTAGTGCTCAACAAGACGACTGTCCAATTGTTCGCAAAAGATGGCGACCTGGCCCTAAACGTGGTCATTAAAAAGGTGAACGAGTCCAGCGAGGCGCCTACGGCTTCTCCCGGCGTTTAGTCGCCTGCCACCCCATCGATGGGCATGGCGATCGCCCTTTCCGTTAGCCCTAGCCATCTGCACGGGCATCGTTCTCCACCAGTCCCTCTGTGAGCAGTTGTTACTAAAAGTTGTCGTACTTAAGCGTATCCATAATAAATTGCATGCACTTCATGGGGCTTGTCCAGTTAAAATGAAGTAAGAGTTCTACTGGGGGGTACAATCCTTTTCTGAAAACGGCTAATTAAATAGGCATTTCTCTATGTACATGCCTAGTCAAGGAGTTGAATTTGGTTATACCCTGGCAGGGTATAATAATTTTAGTCAGAAGCTGATCCTATAAAGTAGATATATTCTTGATCAGCAGCAACATATGAATCGTCGCCCTAAACCCTAACCTAAAGTAAAAATAAGAAAGCTACTCATAATATGTCAGTTTAAATAAAACACACAAACTCCCTAATTTTTGGAGCTTTTCGTTAAATCAAAAGAATGTGTTTCGTGGTAAATGTTTGCAAACGTTTTGCAAATGAAAATCCAAAGGTTTTCGTGACTATAACACATCCCTACTGTGTTGGCCTGCTGCTGGTAGGAACTGCATTCTTTTTTCTGGCTGACATGCTCTATGTGGTGCCCTTCATTTTCGACACCAGCGGAGCAATGTACAAGCTAGCTTGGCTGGTGGCCGCCTTTATTATTTACAACATCCTGGGCAACCAGTTGGCCTGCTATCTGACGGACACTTCGGTGGCGAGTCTGCCCGAGGAGCGCCGTTTTCCGAAGACGGAGGAGGAGCACCTATGGGCCTACTGCGATGTATGCAAAATGAAAGTGCCGGTAAGTTTAGAGAATAATATGGGTGGGTTGGTCATTTCATTCTTCCATTTCACTCTTCCATTTTCTAATATTTTCCATCATCCTATCCCTGGGCTAACTCTGAAAATATCCTTTCACTACAGCCTAGAGCCTGGCATTGCAAATTGTGCAAGTTCTGTGTCTTGCGGCGGGATCACCACTGCATTTTCACGGCCACTTGCATTGGCCACAAAAACTACAGATATTTCTTCTGGCTTCAGTTCTACCTGGCCCTAGGCACTGGATTGTCCATGGGCTGTCATTTACTGGCGGTTGTGGTCAATAAGGACTTTCAGAATCGATATGTACTTGTGTGGATAATTAAAAGTGTTCTGAAGAGGGAAAACAACGTGCATGCTGGTAATTGGAATGAGTTTTTGTGGCAGAACTGGCTTCTTATGCTCAACACCTACGCCTTGGCTTTCTCACTGCTGATGCTGCCCTATCAACTGCCGATCTTCTATTTGAATACTACTTTCTATACGGGTTCAGAGCTCCGGTACAACCTCGGACTGCGAAGCAACATCAAGCTCTTGTTGGGTCGGCGCGGTTTCTGGACTTTTATCTCGCCCTGGATCCACAGTCCATTGCCCCATGATGGCACCAGTTGGGAGGAAATGAAACCCTTAGACATTAGCAATTTCTAAGAGCTATCGAACTTATTTAAAATTGCATAACTCGTGCTATTGTTAGGTGTAAATAAAATTCTCTCGATATGAGCTCTCATTTCTCACCTGGCACGAATCTATCCCAGAATTGCGTCAGCGGCAGGACGACCCACGGCGTGCAGTACAGCCAGATGATAATGTTCATTACCACCGCCTTCGTAAATGTCATGTTCCTGTTCATCGGCTTGGTGATAACATTGAAACGATCGTAGCCTATAGCCGCGTTCGTCATCCCAGCTCCAATGCCCGAATAGGATCCAATGGCTGCGAATATCTGGCACCAGGTATTGCCCAAAGCGAATCCCCGATGAAAGCTGTTGTAGATGAAGATCGGCGCCTTGAGGCACATGATCAGATCGAAGACGGCCAGATTCAGGACGAACATATTGGAGGGCGTACGCAGCGACTTGGATGTGCTGAAGATCCAGATCACCATGCCGTTGCCCACCGTCGAGGCGCAGAAGAGAAAGATGTAGAAGACGCCCAGCATGTAGTGCATGGAGGCAGGCGGCTCCAGCTGCGTCAGCCAGTGCTCCGGAATGTACTGGATCTGATCCGGTGGCACGTTCCAGCCGAGGAACTGCAGGTCCCCGCTGCCGGATGTTCGAGCCTCCGGACGCAGTGGCGGTTCGCTGGCATTGCACAGCGGTTCCATCCCGAAACCGAAAGCGATACCGCTCCCGAGCCCGATCCCGATCCCGATACTCAACCCTTCTCACAGAGCGAGCAGAACTGATTGCATCTGTCGCGTGGCGACATTTATAGCGCAGCCGCTACGATGGCCAAATTCAATTAGGCTTTGTGGTTGCGTGTCCGTAAAGACGATTTTCTGCCCACGCGGCTATATACATGAATATCAGCGAATTGTCACTTGAATCACAACCGAAAAGGGTTGGTTAAATACTTGGTAATGACGCAAAGACCTAAAATGTCAGGGACCAAGTTTAGGGGGCCAATGCAAACTTATTTCTCTTTCATAAAAATAATTTATGATTTAAGAAAATCCGAAATATTTATTACTCTCGTTTTGTTGATGAACTTTTAATGTTGTTGTTATTCTAACAAAATTCCATTACAATTATAAACTTGTAAACATCTTTTGATGTTGAACAGATATTTGTTACGATATTTGCATTTAGCAGGGACCGTAATCATTTCACATTGATTTGTATTTTTTTGATTATCAATAATGATTAAAATTGATTAACAATTTGATGATATTTATTATTTTTGTATTTAGTTATGATGATTTTCAATTGTCAAAGAATGAAAGCCCTGTGAAGTAAGTAACAAAATATATACCCAGTATTATCTGTTGCAGTTGTAATATCTTAACTTAAACCTATTTTATATATTTTTATATATTTTTCTAACCATATAAATCTTAGCCAGAAGTAAAATAAACGTTTATAAAAAGATTTGTTTTTTAATTAATCTTTTTTTTTTAGATTATGATACTGTATTTATTAATGTAATCATTTCTAGGAACATAATATCAAAAAGTATAGAACTATAATTCTATACTCTTTGATAATATCCAGCAAAAGTTCGTTACAATTTAAATAAAAGCTAACAGCGTTGCCAGCTCAGCTTAGGCACTCGCCAGCGCTGCCAGACTGCGGCAAATGGTTGCGCTTCGCGGTGACTGTCGCACAAAACAGGTCACAAAAACAATTACTCCCATTAAAATGCGAAAATAAACCGAAAACAAACGGAGACATGGACGAGGTGGACAAGATAATCATGCACCAGCTGCACCAGGTGGACCCGGCCATCGAACCGACGGAGGAACTGGCGGAATTCACGCCGGAACAGGTCGTGCGGGCGGTGTCCAGCTGCCTGGGCGAAATCCGTCCGGATGTGCAGCTTCCCCGGTCTCTGCCTGGCGGAGCGATGGCCCAGCGTTTTAGTGTGGCTAGCTCCCTGGCCGAGGGATGCAAGGATGCCGGCTACAGGGGCGACATCGGCTACCAGACGTTCCTCTATCCCAACGCCGTCGAGCTGCGGCGTCTGCTTATGTTCCTGATCGAACAGCTGCCACGAGAGCGCCAGGCGGCGGAGGACGGAGTCGGGAAGTCGCAGTCGCTGAGCCACAGGGAAATCCTGCAGCGGAAGATACGCAAGGAGCTTGCCACGCAACTGAAGACGCCGTGGGTGCCACAGTTTGCCCGCTCGGTGGGCAACCGGAAGTCGCTAGGCTGCAGCAGTTTGTGCATTGACTTTCGGCCGCATATCAATCTCAGCGTTCCGTCCGCCAACCCCGAGGAGCGCACCAAGGAGGTGCAGCAGTATTTTGACCAGCTGGCGCCCAATATCTTCCAGCAGACGGCCTCCAGTTCGGTGGATCTCATCGCCTCCGTGCTGCACAAAAACGAACTGGAGCGCTGGGGCCCCGAGCTCCCCGACTCGCTGCACCTCTTCTCGGGCATTGAGGAGGTGGCGCCGCCTCTGCTTCCCAAGGTCTCTCATCCCGTGGATAAATCTTCAACATCCGGCACCGAGGAGGAGGTCTCTCCCCTTGAGCAACTCAGCAACGAGGTCCAAGAGCTGCGTTCGCAGTGCGAATCCCTCCTCATGGAGCGAAAATCCCATGCAGCGGCGCTGGCTGCCTCGAAACTGCGGGAGAGCAAGGCCACCGAGGAGATAGGCCGCATTCAACCTGTGCTAAAGCTTCACGAACGTACCTCTTTGGTCCTGGCCGATTCCGAGCAGAACTTGAACAAGCTGGAGGCCCTGCTGAAGAGCACGCAGGCGAAGAGAGAAACCCTCACGCAGCAGTGGCAGGAGTACAGGAAGCCCCTGCTGGAAACACTAGAAACACTGAAGACCGCCAAAGAAGCCCAACATGTCCAGGGCATCCGGAGCAACATCGAGCAATTGGAGCAGGAACTCCAGGCAAAGACCAAGCAGCACAACGAACTGAATGCCACCCTGAGATCCGCCAGCCAATCCCTGGCTCCTCGCAAGGAGTACACCCGCCGGATCCACGAATTTATAGGGAATATCCGGAAGCAGCGAGCCGATATCTTTAAAGTTCTGGACGACACCCGACAGTTGCAGAAGCAACTGAACGTGGTGGGCGCCCAGTTGCAGCGGCAGTTTAACTACACCGATGATCTGCTCTTCCAGAGCGCCAAGCATGACCTGCACGCCAAGCGGGCTTACAAGCTGCTGGCCCAGCTCCATGCCAACTGTAGTGAACTGGTCGAGTGCGTCTCGCTCACCGGCAACGTGACCAAGCAGATCCGCGAGCTGGAGGTCCAAATCGACGGCGAGAAGCTGAAGAACGTGCTGACCAGTCTGCAGCAGATCACCGGCGATATCCAAAAGTTTGAGCAGCACATCCAGGAGCTGCAGGGTCAGATAAGTGCAGTGGAACAGGCCCAGGTTAATAATGGCGGGAGTTAGATACTCGTAGACATTCGTGTACTAGTGCCAATAATTTTAATAAAGGAATCCATGAACGCTTAGCGTTTATTTAGTGTCGAAAAATAACTTTCTTTCGTGTGTTATTAGAGGGTAAATTAGACTTTGATAAAACGGATACTCAAATTTTAAATGTAACTGTTTTTTGGTTGTTATTATGAGAATTTTCAGAGTTTTTTTCATTATCAGCGGAAAAGTCAGCGGGCACAGTGCCTTTTTCCTCATTGGAAAGCCGGTTAATTCCGCAAATTGGAAAGAAATATATATAAAAAATTATGAAAATGGAGTAAATAAATGTTTAAGAAATTCAACGAAAATAAATATATGATTAAAAAATTAAATTAACAGCATCAGCACTTACTTTTATAATCTTTCTTATTATTTAAGAAGAAATTCTTAATAAATGATAAATACATATTTAAAAAAGTATTTATAATATCTGTTTTTTATGGTTTCAATGTGTTTATTCCACGTAAAGTTATATTCGCTTGGTGGAGTGATACAAAATTATATATAATTATATAAGCATTTAAATTTAATGACAAATATACACAAAAACTGTCTCAAAATAATTTTAAAGAATTTTCTTGAAAATTAAAATTTTTTTTTAAATATTAAATAAATAATATGAAAATAAAACAGCAAGCATTGTGAAATCTAAAAATAAATAATCTTACTTGTGGCTAGAATAAACCAAAGCATAAATTATTTTTTCCAATGCCAACATTTTTGTTTTTTCATAATGATAAATTACATAAAATAAAATAAATTGATTTTTTGAATTTGGGGGGACACTTGGATATTTTAGGGAAATATCTAAACTTTCTGAGATTTTATAGGGGAAAAGCCAAATCTGCGTCTGGTAACACTGCCTGAGCGCCAGAAGAAAGTGTTTTGAAGCTGAAGCCAAAAGCCAAAAGCTCGTCGGCGGCTGTTGTGGCGGTCGTGTTTTTTTCGTTTTCCGTTGATTTACGTTCGTTTGTTTTTAATTTGACCGGTAGTGACAGATAATAACAAAAAATAGCAAAAACTTAAACAAAAAACAACTCGAGTGTGTGAGTGTCTGTGTAAGCTTGCATTTTTTACCCAAATTACATTCAATAACCATGAGCGTTTCAAAATAAAACACTTGAGTGCCGCCGCCGCAATGGTGGTGCTCCCCTCTTGTTGTTGTTGTTGTTGCTTTTGCTATTCCAGAACTCGTTTTCGAGTTTCCAGTGGTTGTTGTTGTTGTAATTTTGGGTTCTTGCATGCGGCCGATAACAAGTTTAACCGGTGTGCGTGTGAGCCGAGCTTAAATGTATTTCACGTACTTGTGTGTGTGTGAGGTGTCCAAGTGTGCGTGCGACTCCTTCAACAAACTGTTGCTTCTTCTGCTGCCGCTTCGTCCTCTTACTCAAATTGAATTCCAATTAGAATTGCAATTCCCCTGAAGGTCGAGTTGGGAAAGAAAAAAAAGAGAGAAAGAAGAAGCAGCAGGAGAAAAGATAATGAAAAACCGGCAGATAAAGTATCAGAAATTATTAAATCGCTAAGCAACCAAGAAAAAACCCTATTAATTGACCGGCCGGCTTGGCGCTCTCTTCTTCTTTTTTTTTTCTTTTTCGGGGTCAATCAACGCTCGA